GGGCCTGCAGAGAGGGAAGGGAGGGCACTGGAGACAGGCAGGGTGGGACGCTGAGGGGAATTGGATGGGCAGTGAGAGGCTCAGGCTGCTTGGACTGGAGTCTGCCACTGCAGGGCTGAGAGGGGTGTGGGCGGAACCACCCTGTGGGGAGTGGGAGGGAGGTCTCACTGAGCCAAGGCACTCACACTGCAGCTGGGGGCACTTGTGGCACTTGCTCTGGCCCCAGGCTGTGCCGATGCTTCCACAGCAGTCTTCCTGCTTGGTGAGGCCGGGGAGGGGATTGCTGCCACACTAGGGAGAGGAGTGTGGACAGGGGTCACAGGGTGCCCAGCCCCGACCTGGCCTCCCTCCTGAGGCCCTTTTCCTCCTCCACTCAACCTGCAGGACACCCCCAGTTTTGAGCAATCCGGGTGGGTTGGAACAGGGCAGCCCTGAGAGACTGAAGGGCCGGTCCAGCGGCGACTGTGGATTCACTCACGGGTTGCTTGGGCAGCGTGTCCTGGAAGCAGCGGCCCAGGGGCTTCTGGGTGGGTGGTCGAGGATGCGGGGGCTTGGGGTGCGGCAGCAGGTGCTGGGAGGGGGCTGGGCCCTCGGCGTTGGGCCCTTCGATGCGGTGCACTTGGACGGAGGCCTCGGGCGGGTGGTGGACGCGCACGTTCACCACAGGAGGTGGGGCCTGCACTGGGGGGCGGGGCACAGCGGCTTCAGGGCTGCCCCGCAGGGCTGGTTGGCAGTGTGGCGGTCCTCCAGGGCTGGCTTCCGCCCGGGACCTGCCACCCTACTCCCCGCCCGCCTCGGCCTACCGGGGTCTGCCCGTTGCCTGGTACCTTCCGCTGAGATCTGTCCTGGCCCGAGGGGCACCAGGAAGGCTGCATGCTGGGCAGGGGGCCCCTCCCCGGGCCCCGGCGGATCGGCGATCACCTGGACCGCGTAGATGGCGTGCTTGCTGGCCACAGACTCGCCTTCCTGAGCCAGGGGAGGCAGCGCGCCTGTGGACAGGGCCCCAGCCCGACCAAGCCCAGGGCCTGAGCCGCCAGTGCCCCCGCCGGTTCCTCCAGCGGGCACCTGGCAGAAGCGACCGGTGAAGTCCGGGGGACACAGGCACTGGTTTCGGGAGGAGCACTGGCCGCCGTTCATGCAGGGCAGAGGGCACACCACTGGGGAGGAAAGGTGGATCAGGGCCCAGGCAGACCCCTGTCCCAGCCCCCAGGCCCAGTCCCTCACCCACATCCTGTCTCTTCCCCTCCTCCCTGCTTCCTTGCCACCCACCAGTTCTGTCCTCCCTGGGAAGCTGGTTTTTGTAACACATCACACACACACACACACACACACACACTACCCTGTAAGTCCCCCAACATCCTTATACCCATGGGGCCACTGGAGTCTTAAGTCTTGGACTTAAATCCTAGATAGGAGGCCATGTGCCAACTGTGTGGCCCTGAGCAACTTACTTCCCCTCTCTGTGCCTCAGTGTCTTCATCTGTAGGACTGTCCTGTCTATTGAATGGGGCAATGCTTAGCGTAGTGCCTAATACACAGTGGGTCCTTAATAAGTAGTAGCAAATGATGATGATGATGATGATGATGACGGAATAGCCTTTCCCTCCCTTAGGCCTTTCCTGGAAATCCAATCTCTCTCTGGTGCTTCCTCCTCCTCACCCCTAAATTCTTCCCCTGATTCAGCCCTCTCTGGGCTCTCCCTCCCTCTCTTTGTCTTGCCATCCCAGGGCCCACACCTCACCATTGCCAACTTGAGCTATCCCTCTCCAGGACCTCTCTTAAGCACCTCCACCCAGGGGACCCTGTCAGAAATCAGCATCTTGCCTCCCCACCTCCACTTGGCCTTGAACAACCACTGGGAATCCCCACCTGCCCAGTCACTCATAACTGAGCCTTGATACTCCATCTCTCCTGCTCCCACTCGGGCCAGTTCTGGCCTCTGTAATATCTCATAATCCATCTTCCCTCCTCCCCATGCCCTCTGCCACTCCCCTGCCTGTCAACATCCCAAGCGCCCCCAGAGAAACTTGCTTCAGGCAAAGCTCTGGCACAGTCACACCCCTGCTCACAGCTTGCTTCCTTGCTCTCCCGTGGCCCAGAAGGAACCTTCTTTCAGCCCATCCCCCCCTGCTCTTTCCATGTGCACCCTATGCTCCAGGACTCATCTCCCGTCCCCTACAAATGTACCACATCTTCTGCCTCCCTGACTTTAATCATGCCTTTCCCGCCCCCTCAGAGCCTTGTCCCCCATCTCTGCATATTCACATCTTATCCTTCCAGGCTCAGCTCCTCCCCCAGGAAGAGAGCCTTTCCTCAGATCCTACCCACCCTCTGCCTCAGCTCTGGGTGCCAGAGGAGGTGCTGGGGGAATGAATGAAGGAGTGGCTCAGTGAGAGGATGGGATCTCTGTCTTTCTGTCACACACTCATATCTGAAATCCAGCCTTGGGGACCTGAGCTCACACACCAGGCCCAGCCCCTCTCCTGCCTGCCACATAGCTGCCCTCACTTCCCAGGATGGGAAGGTGGGGCTGAGGCTCTCTGGACACCTGAAGGGCCTCAGAGGGATGGCCCACATGCATGGCCATCGGGGCCTGGCTAAGAGCATCCCAGCCCAGCCCAGCCCATCCTGCCCGGCCTCTTGGGGCCAGTCTCTCAGGGCAGAAGGGGTGTGTCCTGGGCCGGGGGAGGCAGGATCCTCTCCTTCCTGCCTCCCAATGAGTCACCCATAGTGGTGAGGGTGACCTCCCTGTGACACCCGCCCACTGTGGCCTGGGCGCCGAGCCTGGGGGATGTGGGCAGCACGGATGGAGACAGCAGCCTGGGCAGGATGGCCAGGAGGCTTGGGAGGCCGGGCCCACGTATACTCACATGCACAGCCATCTCATCACACACACATGCACAGACTCATTCTGACACCAACACAGGCTTACATAAACACTCCCGTAGTGATTGCAGACATGCACCCCAGACAACACCAAGAAACAAGTACTTGATCCCAGTGTGCCACTCCAAAGCCGGGCATACCCCCGTGGGCGTGTCACGTGCAAGCACGCACGTGCACACTCGCACACAGACAGGCACACATGCACGTCTCATGAGAACCCCACATCTGTGGGGTTCCTCAGGTCTGAGTGGGTACATGAGTATAGGAATGTGTAAGAGGGGCTGTTTTGCTGGTACCATCCTGGGCCTGGCCTAATTACCCTGTCCAGGAGGGTAATTACTGCTGGGACACCTCCCCCAGCCTGGCCCACAGGGCCCTGAGGGAGGAGAGCTGAGCCCAGGCCTGGCTCTCTGCAGAGAGATGTTGGGGAAGGGGTGGACTCCAGGTGGAACTGGGAAGTTATCACGGCTTGTTGGGGGGAGACTCTGAGGCAGAGCTGTTAAGATTTATGGGGGAAGCATAGATGGGGCATCAGGAGGAGGAGAGGTTGAGGACCCAAACCAGCCCCTACCTCCAGGCCTGCTCTCCACTTGTTAGGCCTCAACACCCCTCCCCTCTAAGACCTTGCCAGTAACTAATTCCCTCACTCCCAGCCCTGACCTCAGCTCCTCCTCCCAGAGAATGCAGGTGTCTACCACTGGCAGGCCCTACTTTAGACAGTTTTTAAAGACTTTTCCTGTTTCTTCCAGCAAGACTGTTTCTCGGGGGAATACTTATCCCTTCTCTGAGACCTCCTGCCCCCGGCTCACATCCCTCAAAAGCCCCTGCTGCAGGCCCTGGCTCCCTCTCAGGACCCAGCACTTTCCTAGAGGCCTGTGTCATCCAGGACCCCAGCATCACCCCACACCTTAGGCCTCAAAGCCAAACCAAAGCTGTTAAAGTCCAGGCTTCCATGCAGCCCTCCCAACTCTGGCCCCAGCACTCCAGCCTCCCAAGCCCCCTGAAGCCCCTGGGGCCCCAGGCCCTCAGGCTCTGCTCTCTCAACCCACGACCCCCAGGGTCACGTGGCCTACGTGGCTTACGCTGCCAGGTACCCCGCATTTGTCCAGGTGCCTGCCTTCCCCGCTCCCCCTGCCCGTGTCCCCGGCCCTCACCCACGCGGAAGCCGGAGCCCGTGAGCGTATCGGTGCTGTGGCCGTTCTCTCCGATGAGCGTCATGTTGGAGCCCTGCTGACAACTGTCCCGACACTGGCCCTTGAGACAGGTCCGCTTGCAGATCACCGGCGCAAAGACCACCTTGAAGCGCTCGCGGGCCAGCGCCCCGCCCCCGCCAGCGCCCCTCTCGCCCGCCGGCCCCCCCTCGGCCCCGCCGCCCGGGCCCAGCAGCAGTAGCAGCAGCAGCAGCAGCAGCAGCGCCAGCAGCCCCGCCGCCCCGGCCCCGCGCATCTCAGGGGCCAGGCCGCCAGCAGCCCCACGGGGCCCGGGCATCCGGGGCCGCAGAACCCGGGGGGCGCGCCCGGGCAGGGGCGATGGTCCCGGCGCCCGAGGGGAACAGCAAGCCGGGAGCCCCGGGAGAGGAGTAGAGAGGGCAGCGAGGGAGAGGATGGGAGGAAGCGCGCGGGGAGGGGACAGCAGGCGCGGGCGCGGGCCCAGTGAGAGGCAAAGAGATGGAGGCTGGACTGCGGGGAGCCCAGAAACTTCCACCGCCCCGGGAAGGAGCCCAGCCACGAGACGGGGCCGAGGGCCTGCGGAGGCCCCAACCTGAGGCCGGAGCGAGGAGGCCGGAGCAAGTTGAAGCGGAGAGGAGGAGCGAGGGGAGAGGAAGGCCGGGCGGCCGGCCCGCTCCGCGCCTCCCCCGGCCGGGCTGGGCTCCCGCGGCCGCCGGGAAGCAGGGAGCGCGCGGGGCGGACTCAGGGAGAAGTGAGCAGTTGTTTTCCCTGGCTGGAGCACGGCGCGGCGGCGGCGAGGGGGGCTGGGATGCTGGCCCCGAGCCAGGGAGACAGTTTTTTTCTGTTTAAAGCGTCGTCGCTGCCGCCTGGGGGAGCGAGGGTGTGCGGGCGGGTGGAGGCTGGGGGGCGGTCCCCGCCCCAGATGCCCGCCCCGCCGGAACCCGCCGCCGCCGCCGCGCTGGGCCCGCTCCAGAGAGCCCTCACCTGGGACCGCTGGCCGCCCCGCCGGATTCCTCCGGGCGGGGCTGGAAGGACCGCGCCCACCTCCGCCCGGCAGCATCAAAGTGGGAAACCGAGGCTGGGGTAGGAAGATGGGCCTTGCCCCAGGGTCGCGCGGATAATGGGAGCAGGTGGGGCTGGAACCCACGCCCCTCAGCCCTGGCGCAGCCTCCCTTGCACATGTGGGGGTCTCACCACCCCGAAGTCACTTCTTATTAGTACTGGTCCACTCCCCCTGGAGGAGAGGACTCGAAGACGGGGCACCCCTTAGCCAGGGCCCCAGCGGGGTCCCAGGAAGAAGCCCGCGGGGTCCAGAAAAGGAGCAGATGGAACAAAGCTTGAAATCCAGGTCCCCTGCCAACCCCCCTCTAAATGGCTTCCTGATGCCCACCCCGCCCCCGCCCCTTCGCCTTGTCTGGCCGGGCTGGCGGGGCTGGCTCTGGGCCTCAGACACTCTGGAATCGCCAAGGTCTGAGCTCAGGGCCTGGCCCCCTTCCCAGGCTAACAGCCGGGAGGAGGGGGGTGATGCTTGAGGGCCCCAGGGCTGGGGAGGGGCACAGCAGGGCCCCAGGGCAGGGGTTGGCAGGGGCTGCCGGGGGGCCTTGAGTTTGGTCAGGGCTGGAGAGGAGCCAGGCCTGTCCGCTAGTCTGGAAGGGAGGCCCTTGAGGGCTGCAGTGCCCTGGGGCCCAGGCCATATCCCGGGCACCTAGCCAGGAGACCCCAGGATTCAGTCTCTGACTCACAGAATTCAGCAGGGGGTGGGTGTGACCAGGGCACAACCAGAGTGGGACACAGCCAAGTCAGGGTGACACTCTCTCTCCGAGGGGAACGGGGGCTGCAGGCTGACTGAGGGAAAGGGGGTTCAGGGACTTGCCTCCAGGCACACCCGTGCAAGGAACTCATGGTTTTCACTTTGAGGGTGGGCTCATTTGGGGGAACTGAGGGAGAGTCTTTGGTGGACCCCTGCCCGAATTGCTCAGTGGGCTCAGGCCCTGTTCACATAGACAGGTATTGCAGAGGTAGGATGGGGGCAATCCCATGTCCCCAGGGGGGCTGGGAGGGTGTGTAAGGGCTGCCCACACACTCCCTCGGGGCTCTGGTCCCACACTGAGGCAGGGAGTAGTACTGAGTGCTCACCACTTGCCACGTGTAGGGCTGAGCATTTTCTAGTCATTTTTCCCCCATACTCATCTGAACTTGGCCCTTGGAACACAGCATAAACAGACCAGGGTTAGAGTCCTAATCTCTCTGAGTCTCAGTTTTCTCACCTGTGAAATGGGGATCTATTCACTCAACAGACTAGGAACCTCCCGCGTGCTCCTGCTAACAAGTAGGACAAATCTCTGCCCTGCCGGAGCTTCTGTACTAGAGGAGACAGACATCTGACACATCAATTCATACGTGGCTGAGGCTGGGACAGAGACGACTAAGGAGCTGGGAACAAGAGAGGTGGTGGGACCTGGAGGTCCAGGAAGCCCTTCTGACGAAGGGACTTTTTTTTTTTTTGCGGTACGCGGGCCTCTCACTGCTGCGGCCTTTCCCATTGCGGAGCACAGGCTCCGGACGCGCAGGCTCAGCGGCCATGGCTCACGGGCCCAGCCACTCCGCGGCATATGGGATCCTCCCGGACCGTGGCACAAACCCGTGTCCCCTGCATCGGCAGGCGGACTCTCAACCACTGCGCCACCAGGGAAGCCCGAAGGGACTTTTGAGCCAGGAGCTGGAGAAGGAGCAGGAGTTAACAGCCAGGCGGTGGGGAGAGCCTGTAGGACGCCCGAGGAGTCGAGGGGCCTGTGTTGAGGAGACAATTTACACAGGGGCATGCGGGGTGAAGGGTAGGAAAGAGATTCATTTCTTCGAGGAGCTGAGAGAAGGCCAGCGGAGCAACGGGGTGGGGAGGTGGAGAGAGGGCATCCGGAGGCGGAGGTGGGAGGCCACGGTGAGGAATCTGAGTTTTATTTTCATTGCCATGGGGCTGTATCAGAGCAAGAGGGGGTGCTGATGCCATCGTCCCAGGAGAGAGGACTCGGCTTGGACGCAGTGGAGATGTGTTTGGGGAGTGGAATCTAGAGACTAGGTAAAGTGGAGGGTGCACAAGAGGCTGGTGGTGTGAATGGCTCCCAGGTGTTTGGCCTGAGCCCCTGGGTGGGTGAGGAAGGCGGCAGAAGAGAGGGAGACCTGGGGGAGAGTGTGGGGCTCTGTTTGCAACCTGCCGAGTTTGAGATGCTTGTGTCATCCACGTGGAGACGTCTCAATCCAGGGGTCTGGAGCTCAAACAGAATGTCTGCCCTGGAGACACAGACTTGGGGTCCTCCGCCTACAGGGGCATTTATGGCCATGGGAAAGGGTGGGCTCAGCTGGGGAGAGAAGAGGGCCCAAGGCGAACCAGGGAGGTCACCACTCCCAGATCAGAAAGAAGAGGCAGCGTCAGAAGTGACTTAGAAGGAGCAGCTGGAGGGAGCAGAGAGAGGAAAACCAGGAGTGTGATGCAGGAAGAGCCCAGAGGAGCGAGTGTCTTGGGAGGAGGGCACGGCCAAGGCTGTCTGATGCTGCTGAGAGTAGGATGGGGGGAAGGCGGCCCTTGTTGGGGGGCTGCTGAGGGGACTGAGCCACCGGGAGCCGTGAGGGCAAGCGGCACACAGTGAGTGCTCCGTGAGTTTACCTACTGTCGGTACCAAACTCCTCAGCTCATCAGGAACCCAGCAGTGGGCACCCTCCCGCGGGTGATGAACATTAACCTAAGTCTGCAGCCACGGGAGCTGGAGCCGGAAGGGGGGCAGCCCTGGGGAGCGGCGGTCTTTAGCACAATCCGGTGGGACCTGTCCTCGTGCAGCCTGCGGGGAGGGAGCTGCGGAAATAAATATTACCCCCGGTGTCTTCCTGTCCAGCTGGGCCCCCCAGGGGCCGAACCCCAAAGGAAGCCTGCGGGCAGGGGGGGCTGGGAAGGGAACACAGCAGGCAAGGTGAGCCTTGGGGCATGAGGCAGGGCGGACAAGGATGCAGAGTGGATCCGCAGGGTTACTGCGACAGTCCAACGCAGGTAGTGTCCGTGGCCTGTGCACCTTTTCTCTCCGCATCTCCTGTGTCACCACACCCAGCCACCCCATCTTCCTTGAATCGACCAGCATGCCTCCTAGATGTAAGTTCTCCTGCAAGTCCAAGGAGACCATGACCTCTGTGGTCAGTCCAGATCACTTCTGTTGCCTAACGGGTCTCCCCACTGCCATTTCTGCCTGGTCCTGTCCCTCCTCCACCTGGTGCCAGAGTCACCTCTTAAAACCTAATTCCAGGGCTTCCCTGGTGGCGCAGGGGTTAAGAATCCACCTGCCAATACAGGGGACACGGGTTTGATCCCTGGTCCGGGAAGATCCCACATGCCGCAGAGCAACTAAGCCCGTGCGCCACAACTACTGAGCCTGCACGCCTAGAGCCCATGCTCCGCAGCAAGAGAAGCCACTGCAATGAGAAACCCACGCAGCGCAACGAAGGGTAGCCCCCGCTCGCTGCAACTAGAGAAAGCCTGCATGCAGCAACAAAGACCCAATGCAGCCAAAAATAAAAACAAACAAACAACCCCCCTTAATTCCAGGGACTTCTCTGGTGACCCCCCCCCTTAATTCCAGGGACTTCTCTGGTGGGGCAGTGGTTAAGACTCTGCACTCTCAATGCAGGGGGCCTGGGTTCGATCCCTGTTCAGGGAACTAGATTTCACATGCCACAACCAAGGAGCCCACCTGCTGCAACTACGAGCCAGCGCAACCAAATAAATAAATTAATTTAAAAAAAAACAACAAAAACCTAATTCCAACCTTGATCCTTCTTGGCTTAAAAAACCTCCAACAATTAATTTAAAAACAAAACAAAACAACAACAACAAAACCGTCCTGCAGCTTCTGTCTGCTCACCTGGGCCTGCAAGGTCCTCGGTGTGGCCTAATCCTTCATGTCTTGGGGTCCTGCCTCCAGAAGGCGTTTCTCTAAAACAGCCGTCCCCGGCCCTTTGGGTCACATCCCCGCTTTGTCTCCTGCTGGTCTTCAGCACAGCCTGAAACATTCTTCTTTGTGGGCTTGGTTACTTATGGTGCGTCTCACCGCCCTCTCAGGGAGGTACAACCTTGCCTCCAGAGCCTAGTACAGGGCCTGGCAGGCAGAGGGTGCTGAAGTTGGCTGATTGACTGAATGGACTGAGACCACGGAACTCTGAAAGACGGAACAATTAGACTTGCATCATCTGGTGAGTAAGATGTGGGGATTGAACTTAAGCCGGCCTGATCCAAAACCTACACAGTGCTCCTGGGAGGGAGGAATGAGAGGGGTCCCACAAATTCCTAAAGATAGGAGGGCAATGAGGGGCTTTGCTAGAATGTGGCAAGGAAGAGCCCTGGGACCCCAGCCCCGGGGAATGATCAGACGGCTTAAATGTTAGGAAAGGGTTCCTTTGTGCAGAGGGGTTCTTGAGGCTCAGAGATGGCAAGGGACTTGGCCAAGGTTGCATGGCTGGTTAACGGCAGAGCCAGAACCCAAACCCAGGGCTCCCGATGCCTCCTTAGGGGAACTGGCTGGACGAGGCAGCAGCAGCCTGCGTAAGGGACGTTTCATTTCAGGAGGCAGCATAACATGGTGGTGGTTTTCTGGCATTCGATCTTCCTGCACCAGCTGTGTGCATTGGGGAAATTCTTCATCTCCTCTAGGCCTCCTTTCCTCATTTTTAGACAACGAAGCAAAGGAGCTGACATTCATGAAGCCTTGTTGGATGCTGGGCACATGGCAAGTCCTCAGGATATGTTAGCTCTTTTCATCATTATCTGGGTCTGGGGTCCACAGTGGGCTGTGGGTGGGAGCTGGCTGCCTGTGGGGAGGGGGAGAATAACATTGAAAGAGGGCTGACCATGTGCCAGGCTCTGTGTCACCTCTCTGAGTTCTGAATGTCTTTGGGAAGCTTCTAGACTCTGAAGAAAGAAATGGCTCTAAAGGTTGTAGGTTCTAAAGATGACGGTTGGAAGTTTCAGAAGCCTGGAGGGGACCATTCTGCCCTGAAGCATTTCTCTCCAAAGACACTTTACTGAAAGTGACTGTCACTGAGCCCCTCTGATGTGCCCCTGCTGTGATGAAGGGCACTGAGAGATGGGATTGGAAAACGCAATGAACCAGTCTTCATGCTTGATCAGTCAGAGAGGATCTTCAGCCCTGCCCCTCGTCTCCACCTTCCGAACCCAGGAAAAGTCCACTGGTGAGAATCCAGCTCTGGACGTGCGCTGACCAGATGGGGTCACAGCCCTGCCACATCCCAGCAGGGTGACTGTGACTAAACCTCTTAACCTGTCCAGGCTTCAGCTTCTCCATCTGCACATTGGGAGACATAACTCACAGACTTGTCCTGAGGATTAAAGGAGATAATTCAAGCTCTTAGTATAGTGCCCGGCCCCAAGAAAAAATACACCAAAAGTTGAGTATTATTATTTTTTTGTTGCTGTTTCTTTTTTTTTTTTTTTGCGGTATGCGGGCCTCTCACTGTCGTGGCCTCTCCCGTTGCGGAGCAACAGGCTCCGGATGCGCAGGCTCAGCGGCCATGGCTCACGGGCACAGCTGCTCCGCGGCATGTGGGATCTTCCTGGACCGGGGCACGAACCCGTGTCCCCTGCATCGGCAGGTGGACTCTCAACCACTGCGCCACCAGGGAAGCCCGAGTATTATTATTTTTGCTACTGTATCATCTAGTCCTTTCTTGTTTCCCAGAAACGTCAGGTCAATTCACATTGCAGTGAAAGACAAGAAGAAAAGTCGACCCCTTCCGGAGGCCTGTTGCCGTGATGATAAAATAATGCCAGTTACGATTTTCAGAGCCTCGGCTACACAGCATAGGCCACTCGTTGTCATGTGAACCTGATTCACCAGATGAGGCAGTCAAGTGGGACCTGTAACTGAGCTGTGTGTGAATATGCTGCTGTGGGGTGTGCTGTTACTCAGGGACAGGCCTAACTACTGCCACATCCACTGTGCCACAGGTAGGGACAGATGTTGGGCTGGCTCACATGAGGGTAGGGAAGGGTCCCACACTTCCCAAACAGCTAGTCTACCCACCGTTACTGGTCTGAATGGGCTTTACCACCAGCACTTCTGAGACCTTCTATGTGCTTGCTCCCTTGTCAAGGACTATGATGGGTCTGAGGTTTTCTGTTTAATTTTTTATATATCTATTTTATTTATTTGGTTGCGCCAGGTCTTAGTTGCAGCAGGCAGGCTCCTTAGTTGTGGCTTGTGGGCTCCTTAGCTGCAGCATGGGAACTCTTAGTTGCGACATGCATGTGGGATCTAGTTCCCCGACCAGCGATCGAACCCGGGCCCCCTGCATTAGGAGTGTGGAGTCTTTTTTTTTTTTTTTAATTTATTTATTTTGGCTGCGTTGGATCTTCGTTGCTGTGCACAGACTTTCTCAGTTGCGGCAAGCGGGGACTACCCTTCGTTGCGGTGCGCTGACTTCTCATTGCAGTGGCTTCTCTTTGTTGCAGAGCACAGGCTCTAGGCACATAGGCTTCAGTAGTTGAGGCATATGGGCTCAGTAGTTGTGGTGCAGGGGCTTAGTTGCTCCGCGGCATGTGGGATCTTCCTGGACCAGGGCTCGAACCTGTATCCCCTGCATTGGCAGGTGGATTCTTAACCACTGCGCCACCAGGGAAGTCCCGGGTCTGAGGTTTTACCTTACTTGCAAACACAAGTGAGCCTGCCACAGGTTCGTGCATGCTGGCAGAAGACAGGAGATTCCTGGGTCAGAGACAAAGGACCATTATTCATGGCGCAGTAAATAGCATGATCATCAGCATATTAACATCAGTCCTCTTGTCCCCAGGTCCCGTGGGGGTGGCACCAATGACCTAGAATAGACTCCTGCACACAGTGGACTGTGGTATGGGAGAGGATGCTAAACTCAAGAACGCAAGTCTTTTCTAATGACTGGCCTTTGCACTGGAGGGAGATTCTGTCTCGATCTTCCATGGCTATTCACTGTACCAATATCCTTGAGAAGAGAGTCCAGGACAAAGGCAGTCAGTTGCCTCACTTGCAAAATGCGCAGAAACTCAAGAGATCCCTGGAGAATTGTCTTACAGTAATATCCACCCCTCATTTCTACACTATCTTGGCTTTGGGCGAATTTTCCCATGAGTTCACCACTCTGTTGGCAAATCTGATCGACAGAGGCTAGGACCAAATCTGTTCAATTTGTGTCATACAGCATTTAATTAAAGCTACTACCAACAGAACTACAAGCAGCAGGATGAAGCCAACTTGCAGTACTGACCTCAACTATGCCTCCCAGATGAACAAATCCATAGAGCATCATACCTACCTTAGAAAGCCAGGTGGCTCGCTCCTTAGTTCTCTGCATCAACCTTTCCACCTTGGCCCAGAAGGCATTCAGGAGAGCCTCAATTCACTGACCAAGGTTGCTATGGGTGATGGATTTCTCCTGTACTTCTTCCTTGCAGACTAGAGTCTGTGCAATCAATATATCTGCTGTACCTGGATTAATGCTTCCAGCCATGAGTAAGAAGGTCCTTTTTCTCTGACTCAGGAGTCTCCTATCTTCTGCCAGCATGCATGAACCTGTGGCAGGCTCATGTGTTAGTTTGCAAGTAGGCTAAAGTCAAGGATAAATTTCAAGTCACTCTGTTTTCTGGAGAGAGACAAGTTAATGTGTGACTTCCACGTCAATCATGCAGTCTCAAGGGTACTAGTGGTGCTTCTGGGAAAAAACATGGCGCCCCCAAGTGGGACTTACATCAGCTAGAGGGGGCCCAGGTTGACAGTGCCTCCCTTCAAGTCCATAGGCCTTAGGGCTTCCAGCCCAATCCAAATAATTAAGTCTAGTCCTTGTTTTTGGAGGGCTTGGCTAAGGGCAGTTAGTCCTGTTTGCCCATGCCACCAGCCAGATGCCATTCATCTACTCCATGGCATGACTGAGTGGTGATAGCTTCAGGATTGGGCCTGGGATCTGTATCTGGAGGTGATGTTGTTGACAGGTATTTTATGTAGGAGGTACAGGAGCTGAGGCTACCCGCTGCTGCTTCCAATCCCTTGGTAAGGTTAAGCAGAATGGCAATGAAACCCAGGTCAGAACTGTCTAGTGGAGCATGGCAGACTCAGCAGTCAGTTAAATTTCAGTCACTCGATATAGTTTGGGTGAGTTGGACCAAGATGTTGTCCTCAGTGAAGAAGGCTCCAAGTGGTTTGGAAAGACAAAGACTATAAGTGTCTTTCTTTTCCCCATTTTTCCCAGGGTCTGAGGTGTCCCCTCCCCAAGTGCCAAGGTTGTTATTCTCCCTCCAGTGTCACAAAATCGATGTGTTCTATTCTAGTAGTTAGAACTTCACCTTTTTTCCAATCACCTCCTACTTACACTTTTCATCTGGAAGGGTCAGGTGCAAGAAGGACAAGGACATTTTTATAAAACATACAGGAGCCCACTATGTCCCCCACTCTACGTGTAGGCCACTGTTCGGGGACTCAGAGAGAGAGGTGTGCGTGCCAAGCGCTCCAGGTATTCTCATGATCTAGGACCGTGTCAGTCAAATAAGAGAATCCAGGTGGTTGAGAATCCCCTAGGCCCCTTTCTGACTGGGCTGTCTCCCGGAGTTGCACCAATCAGGCTGACCTGGGGTTGCTGTTAAGGGAAAGAGAGAAGCATTATGTCCAGGAATGGTGAACGTGGAACCCTAAATTTTCAAAACTGGTCTATATAAACCCCACCCCTCTCATCTCAATCATTATGAAGGACATGGCCTAGATGAGATGGTCCCATCCTGGGGACAGCCACATTCAGTTATTGAACTGCTGTACTAAGGTGTGTGGACCAGGAGGGAGAGCCAGAAATCTCTTTGAGCTAATTTTTGAGGAGCTATTTCAGTGCTCAACAGTACCACATGCTTGTGGATGACAGGGAGGATAGAAGGATCACCAAATACCTAGACTATCAGCTCATTGTTGAGTGGCCTGAGATGAAAGGTGCACCATTGTTAGACTTCAATTGGTCCAGAAAGCCAAAATCATGACACAGATTCGTCTCAAGAACAACAATGGGGTGACCAAAGTTGGCTGATTGGCCTGAAACAGTACCACTGTAACCTGAAAAAGTGTGAGACACCATCCATAGCCCCAGGAAGGAGTCAAAGGTCCCATGCATTCAATCTCTCAGGAGTGGGCAGGGGCAATGCCACATACACTGTAGCCTCCTCTTCACAGAACAAACAGCTGAACTTTTGACCGGGATCACAAATCTGGCATGGAGTGGTGGCTTCTGCATCAGCAGCATGGAGTCCTTCACTTTGTGCCCACTCCGTGATGGTGGACGTGTTGCCATATCTGGTATCATGATGGGTCCAGGCAGAAATGGAGACAATCTGGGCAGTGCAGGCTCGAACAACAGCTTGATTCATGTCAGTCTCATCAGAGAATGGGCCTTTAGCATGGGCATCTGCATAAGTGATCTAGCGAGTTTGATCAGCCACGATTTGTTTCCACAGTTAGCTGAGAACATTGCCGTCCAAAGCCCTCTATTAGGCGGCAGGGCCCTGACATTATCTATCTCACATTTGGGGACTCCTTGACTCAGCAACCACAGCAACATTGCTTTCCAGCTGGAGCGGCAAGGTTCACACCCTTTGGCTGAACTGGGCTTGAGTTGGTCAGTCTTGCTAATGGTTTGGCAATTTTGTTGATCTTCTAAAGAACTAACTTGTAGGTGAGTTGATTTTCTCTAATCTATTCTAGTCTTCCTTCTGCTTGCTTTGGGTTTAGTTTGCTCTTTTTTCTAGTTTCTTAAGGTGGAAGATTAGGTTACTGAATTGAGACTTTTTTTTTCTTTTAAATATAAGAATATACAACTATAAATTGCCCTCTAAGCACTGCTTTGGCTGTATCTCACAAGTTTTGTTATGCTGTGTTTTCATTAATCTCCAAGCAGCTTCTAATTTCCCATGTGTTTTCTTCTATGACCCATTAGTTATTTAAGAGGGTGTTGTCTAATTTCCACATATTTGTGAATTTCCCAAATTTCCTTCTTTTACTGATTGCTAATTTCATTCCACTGTGATCTGAGAACATACTTTGTATTATTTCAACGCTTTTAAGTGTGTTGAGACTTGCTTTATGGTCTAACATATGGTTAGACCATGTATATTTGAGAAGACCATGTATATTTGAGAAGAATATGACCTGCTGTTGTTGGGTGGAGAGTTCTATAGATGTCTGTCAGGACTTGGGCTTGACTTGCACAGCCGTGACTTTTATTAAAAGGAGACTACCTTGATAGAGGGTATTTCTGTCCCCCTGTCATAATAATGTCTCATTTTTGCCTTGTTTTAATAGAAGGGCTAGGAGAGTTTTCTAGGGCAGTGGAGCTGATCACAAGAATTTATCTAGATTTCTTTGGGGCACCTGTAGCAGTACTGTAAACCTGAAGTAAGACAATAGGAGCCCAAAGAGTAATAAATGCCTCATCTATGGTTTCCTATGGGAGTTTGTCTCAAGGAAATTTCCCGGAAGAGGGACAAAACTCCCTTATAGCAGCGAAGACCCATTAGGGGGGAAAAGCTGAGACCTTTTACTGTCATCTCAGAATAGATATAAGATTCGCATGATAGCCTGTAGAAAGGGCTGAGCTGTAAGATGACCCAGCTGTTGCCATTCTTCCTTACCAAGCATCACATGCCCTGCCCCTCCTCTCCCAAGTGAGCCAGCAAAGTTCTAATGATTCATCTATTTTCTTGTCCATAGCAGTAATGAATTTCCCTCCATTCATGTTTAATATGTGTGTGCATCTCTGTAAATGCTGCCTGAAAGGAGGTGGAAACTTCTGTACTCCCAGGATGAGTCTTTTTTTTTTTCTTTTTTTGGCTGCATTGGGCCTTTGTTGCTGCACGTCAGGATGAGTCATTGGTTGTTACAATGGGGCAGGCCTGGACTGTGAGGCGCTACCTTTCCACTCCCAAACCCCACCCAGAAGAGAGTAGTTGTCATGAGGAATAAATGAAAGGGAGTAAATGGGAGGATGAGTGTAAGGATCTTAGTTGGTGTCAGACAGGATAAGCTGCTGAGTGGATATGGGCCATTATGATGACACAGAAGGGTGCATCGAGAAATTCGGTGGGGGGTGGGGCGTGCTGGGAGCTGAAGATAGTAAGGACCCGAAGGGTCTGTGTATATAGGCTAGAGGCCAAGAGTGCCTAGTCATTTTGGCAGAACTGACCTGGTGTCAGGCCCTGAGTCAGGTACACTGCTGCCCAAGAGGCTGCTGGTAGATGGACAGAGTGACGTGGGGCACAGGGCTCTCCAAGGAAGCAGGAGGCAGGAAGAGTCAGAAAATGTAAGTTCCAGGGAGTCTATGTAGGAGGAAGATGGGGCCAGGAGGAGGGTACTCTATCTTCAGGTAAAACTGAAAGCATGTGCTGCCAGTCAGAGAAGGAGATTGCCGATGAGATTACGGGAGTCTAAGTCCTAGCTCCTTCTCAACTGACCTGGTGTACTGCCTTGAGGCACTGCAGGCTGCACATCTGGGGACTGCTGCCTGCTCCACCTGGCTTCTTCAAACCTACTAAAGGAGAGGAGGTGTATGGAAAAAGAACAAAGAGGAAAAAAAAAAAACCCACCAAGGCCAATGGTCAGGGAGCACTAGTAATTTTAACAGCAACGCACTCAAGAAGAGCATAACGGTCACAGGCATGTGTAATAAACCCCTCATCCCCACCCTCCAGCATGTATCACTCAGTTGCGGCTGGAACCGAAACTGCGCATGCCCAGCACAGCGATTTCCACCCCCACCCGCAGTCAGCTGGCTTTTCGAGGGTTCAAACTTCAACAAAACAAAATGTCTTCTTAAGGGCTGACTTTGAATCAGTCCCAGGCCTTTGGGTGGGGAAGATAGGGAGTGGGCAGACTGTAACACCGAACGTGCAGAAGGGGAGGGGTCTTGAAATAAGCTGAAAGGCAGCGAGAACGATCGCCGCCTGGCCTGCCTTGCCAGTTGAAGTGAGAAGGGAAGGACTGAGGCCCGAGGAGGCTCCACGCATGCATAAGGGGCCGTTTGTTATCAAGGGTGTTGTGATGTTGCCACTGCCCCGCCTGCCCCGGGTCCTGCCAGTGCGGAAAGGGAAACTCCAGGGGAGGCGGAGGCCAGCGGAGATTTCTCAAGCCAACCGGTCCCCTCCCTCCGCGGCGGGCAGGAAGAGCGACTCTGAGCAGCCACTTCCGGGCCCTGCGACTTTGAGCTGCATTATCACGGAGACGCCCCTCCTGAGGCCCGGCCAGTCGAAAGTTCTTGTCCACAGGCTCCCACCGAGGGGCGCACCAATGGGACAGGGTCTAGTCTGCGGCAGACACGCCCCACTCTGGGCATCGCGACGTCGGAGCACACAGAGCGTCATTTCCGCCCTCATCCTCGGCCCCACAGGAGGGGGCGGAGCCAAGCGGAAGGCGCGCGGCTTGTGCGTCACTTCCGTTGAGTCTAGCGGCGACAACGGTAACATGGCCCTGAACGGCTCTGGTGAGGACTTGGGCTGCGGGGGCTTGTGGCTGCGGGTTGCGGGCTGCAGCCTGCTTCGGCAAGACCCCCCGGCCCCTTGTGCCTCTCTTCCCCCAGAAGTCGACGACTTTTCCTGGGAGCCCCCGACCGAAGCGGAGACGAAGGTGCTGCAAGCGCGGCGGGAGCGGCAGGATCGCATCTCCCGGCTCATGGGCGACTACCTGCTGCGTGGTTACCGCATGCTGGGCGAGACGTGCGCGGACTGCGGGGTGAGGAGAGACTCGGGACGTGGGATCCAGGATGGGGCCGCGGACCAGGCCACACGGCCCTTGACCAGCGCTCCCCTCTGGACCCCATCGCCCGGCGTCTCACTCCTGCCCCGTGTGCTTTCTGGCCCCTAGACGATCCTCCTCCAAGACAAACAGCGGAAAATCTACTGCGTGGCTTGCCAGGAGCTCGACTCAGACGTGGACAAAGATAATCCGGGTGAGGTGTCGAGTGTGCTTGGTGAAGAAGTGTGGTGAGAGAGGCTCAGGAACAGTAGGTGGGAGGTGACAGTGGTATTTGTGGGTGAGGCGGGGGTGAGTTGCTTTCTCCTTTCAGCTCTGGAAAGGACCATTCATTCAGTAAGAGCACCAAGCACCTACCGTGTGCCAGAGATCATGGAGGGTCTAGCTTATCAGGCATAGTTCTGATGAGAGAGATGAAGCAAGGGCATAAATAACTCTGATACAAAGAAGAAAATGGATAAATTGCCTTATACTGGGGCAGGGAAAACATCTCAACTAGAGAGAGAGCAGAACAGTAAAGAGTAGGGAAGTGGCTCAGGGCTGAGGTGAGCCAGGTATCCTGACCATTCCACCGGCTTTTTCCTCTTTTAGCTCTGAATGCCCAGGCTGCCCTCTCCCAAGCTCGGGAGCACCAGCTCGCCTCTGCTTCGGAGCCCCCCTTGGGCTCTCGGCCTGCCCCTCAGCCCCCAGTACCCCGTCCAGAGCACTGTGAGGGAGCTGCAGCAGGGCTCAAGGCAGTCCAGGGGCCGCCCCCTCCTGCTGTGCCTCCAAATGCAGATGTCGTGGTCTGCACACAAGAGGCTCTCCTGCAGAAACTGACCTGGGCCTCAGCAGAGCTGGGCTCTAGCACCTCCCTGGAGACTAGCATCCAGCTGTGTAGCCTTATCCGGGCTTGTGCTGAAGCTCTGCGCAGCCTGCAGCAGCTGCAACACTAAAGAACCCCTCCTGAGAAAATCCCTGTAGAAAAACAGCTGTTCCTCTTGTGTGATTTTTTTCTTTTCTTGGTTCTGAGTGTGCATGTAAGCCCCAGCTCTGCTCGTCTTTTTCCTACTTTTGGCCTCTCATGCTGTCACAGTCTGGTCTCCTTGATGCCCTGAGAGATGAGTTGGGCTTGTTTCTGCTCAGTTTCCCCACTCAAAGGATGAGGCGGGAGAGGACTATGTGATACTTTTATTCTGATGAGGAGGCCACAGCCTCCTCAAAAGCAGAAACAGGCGTCGCTCTCTAAAGGAACCCTGCAACCTCCTCAGCCATCCAGTGCTCATTCCCCACCCTTGAGTGAGATTTGGGGTTCCAGTCCCCTTGGTAGCTTCCCCTCCTTTCCCCGAGCATCCCGACACCATCATCCTATCCCACCTCAGGCCCAGACCAGGTACTCAGATACTGACAGGGTGTCAGTCAATTAGGGATCAATTATGGACTTATCCTCAGTCTCCTGACCACCCCCCCCCTTTTTAGATCCTTGAGAGTTATAATAAGGCAGAATAAATAAAGTGTTGTGTGTGGGGGTGGAGAACCGCGAAAGAACCGCACGCTCCGCTTTTGCCCTCTTCCCTCACCCCTTTTTCCTGTTCCCCTTCTATTGGTGGCCAATTGCCTGTTCTCTGCTCTCTGCGACCTGGGGCAACGTGGGCGCATCAGCCGTTGCCCTTTTAAGAGAGGCCCTGCCCACACGGAGGGGTGGGCAGGGGGCGGAGTCGGAGGAATCGGGTAGGAACAAAGCACTCCCTGCGGGCGGCGGCTGGGCTCGGCTGGCGGGGCCGCGGGGTGCGGGGCCTGCGGGCGGCGGCCCGGGCGGAGCGTTGGAGGGAAGGAGGTGGCATCCTCCTCTGCCGGTCCGGCCATGAATGGGCTGCCTTCGGCCGAGGCGCCAAGCGGCGCGGGCTGCGCCCTGACCGGTCTTCCGCCGTTACCGCGCGGCCTCAGCGGTCTTCTCAACGCGAGCGGGGGCTCGTGGAGGGAGCTGGAGCGCGTCTACAGCCAGCGCAGCCGCATCCACGATGAGCTGAGCCGGGCCGCCCGCGTACCGGACGGGCCCCGTAACGCCGCCGGCGCCGCCAACGCGGGAACTGCCGCGGGACCCCGCGGCCCGCGTCGCCCTGTTAACCTCGACTCGGCGCTAGCGGCGCTGCGCAAGGAGATGGTGAGTAGCCCTGCCTCGGTCAGCTGGGCGTTGCGGGGTGATGGGGGCTGCCGGCGAGCTTGAGGGTCCTGGGGCGGGGCGGAGTACATAAGGCAGCGCGCTATCTGGGTCTAGAGGATTGGCAGAAGCCGGTTGGGTCAGAGGGGATATGGTAACAATAATTAGTTACCGTTTATGGTAATAGTTACTATGTATTTTAAAATGCCTTACTAGTGTTATTTCATTCTATTCTGCTAGATAACTGTTGTCCCCATCTTGCAGATGAGGGTCAGTGGCTTTGCCTACAGATTCACAGCTTGTAGGTGGCATCTGATGTCCACAAAAACCTGTGCTTGGGAAGACTGGCTAGGGGGGTGGCTTCGACCCCAACCCCAGCCCACTCTCAGTCTTTTGCAGGTGGGCCTGCGGCAGCTGGACATGTCCCTGCTGTGCCAGCTGTGGGGCCTGTATGAGTCGATCCAGGACTATAAGCACCTGTGCCAAGACTTGAGCCTGTGCCAGGACCTGTCATCCTCCCTGCATTCAGACAGTTCCTACCCACCTGATGCTGGCCTATCTGATGATGACGAGCCTCCTGATGCTAGCCTGCCCCCAGACCCGCCACCCCTCACTGTGCCCCAGACGCACAATGCCCGAGACCAGTGGCTGCAGGATGCCTTCCACATCAGCCTCTGAAGAGCTAGGGTGGTAGGGGGCATGTACCCATGCAAAAGGCTCAGAAACTCACCCCTCAGCAAGTATTCAGACTATAGTGCCTGCTTTCCCCCATACCACCTCACCTCACAGGAGGAGGGCAAGGCCTGGGCCCCTTGGGAGCAAAACTGCCTACCCTCTCTCTCCTGTCTTGGGTTAGCTGGCACTGGGGCAGGTACCTGCGCTACAGCCTCTGCCCATGGCACTGGACCTTCACTCCTCCAGCTTGGCCGACCTTCAGTCTGGCGGTGGGGTCCAAAGCATCTAGCACTCCCTTGGCACCTCTGTGACTGGGATGAGTGCCTGGCTCCTGTCTCTTCACCTTTTGCTGCTATTGGCAGCTGCTGGCTCAGGGGCGTCCCACCTTTGGTCCCTGGGTTCCACGGCCCTAGACAAGGGCTCTCCAGGACCCATTCCTGCACCACCCACGGCCGGGAGGGCCAAGGCTCCGCGCTGGATATTTAAGTTTAGGGGCCAGCCTCCTGGGCGCATAGATAAATAAATAACTGTCTCAGCATTGTTGTGTTTTGACTGCCTGGCTCAGGGGCGGGAAGATAAGCGGTAATTCTGTAAAGTGCTGCCCCGCGCTCCGCCAGCAGGTGGTGCCCGAGACCCCGAGTTGGAAGAGGCTCGGCGGTGCCAGGGTGCGAACCCTCGCTCCCCGGGCAGAGTCGCCGATCTGCCGATCGTTCCAAGCTGCCCCAGCTTGGTCCCGCGGTTGGTTGTGTGAGTGCGGGCGAGTCACTTCCCCTCTCTGGCCGGAGGCCTGGAGCTCAACGCCCCTCCCCACTCGCTTTGGGCTTTCCTGGCCGGCCGGGAAGGAAAGAGAAGGAGCCGCCCTTCTCGAGGAGAGAAACTTTCCACCCCGAGTGGGGGCGGGGTTGGGGCGGCACAGGAAATGGGTGGGCCTGGGCTGGCGGGCCGGGCCGAGGGGCCCTAGGCGAGAGAGGGGAGGGCGCCTCCTGGAAGGGCCTGGGACGAATGAGTGACCTATAGGCGGGAGAAAAGAGTTGCAGAGGCAGAAGGGGGGTGAAATCGCAGTGCTCCAGGCCTCCCCAGAGGCCAGACAAGCCCCGGAGGGGAGATGGGGGCAAGCCTCTGGGCTTGGATGCATGAGACTCCCAGCGGCGTAAACACCCTCATTCTATGCCTGGCTTCCCCTCAACAGCACCTGGGACCTTCAGGGTTGTATGTAAAAGGCTTTCTCTAACAGAGGAAACGGAGAACCGCGATGCTGGGTCTAGGAGCTAAACCCGGTGTCAGGTTCCCTCCCCTCCCCCAAAGAAGCCTGAACACTTGCGAATGGTGGGTGCTAAGGCTTCCACACACACGCACAATACCCCACAGCTTCCTGAAACGAAGAGAAGAGGAGAGGACCTCAAAGTTGCGCACTTAGGCTTACCGGCTGCTCATCCCCATGCCTCCTGGACACAACTCAACTGACACTCCTGGCAGATCAGACGTCCTGTTCAAACCGAGTATTTATCAAGGACCAGGCTTCTGTCCATTCACAAACCTAGCAGAGCGTTCACACTGGCAGACGGAACAGGCTGATGTGCTGCTCTATGGCAGTTCTTGTAACTCTGCGCCTGACACCTGCAGCGGCTCATTACCAAGCAGGCAGCCGGGCGGGCTGGCGATAAGGGCTCTAATCTAGGTGTGAACAGAGCGGTTAACGCCCCGGGGCAGGCTTCCCAGGGGAGGGAGAGTAAACACACACACACTCCCGTCCATGATAACGGATTTCAATAAAACCGGCAAAATCAGCCAGGTTCTACACTAATGCTTTCCAAGCTTTCATTCTCAATGATGTTGTAAAAGATGGAACTATAATTATCCCTATTTCACTGAGGTGAAAACTGAGGCTCAGAGCGTTAGTACCTTGCCCAAGGTCACACGCTTGTTGGAAGTCATCTGCTTGTGGGATGTTGGGACCACCTTCCCACTTGACAGCTGGAGAGTCAGGTTCTGAAACTGGCAAGTGGGTGCTGCCCACAGGTAAGGCTACCCGGGTTGGCCGCTGACCCTGCTCCTTCCTGCTCTGGTTAATTCGTGGGTGGCAGCAGGAGTCTGCCTCTCCCCAGTGTTGAGGCCAGTTGGCTCTGGCTCAGCGCACTGTGATCCTTCACGTTTCTTCTCCTTTCTGGGTCTCTCTTTCCCCAGCCTGTGAAATGGGGCCACCAGTACGTACCTCCCAGGGCTGCGGTCAGGAAGGGAGGCGGCCGGGGCAGGGCTCGCGAGGGCGGTACCAATTGCTGGTGGCTCCCTGCCCCGGCCCGCGCGCCCCCCACCCGGCCCGCGCCTCCACACCGCCTCGGCGCGCAACAAGCGGGCGCTGCGGTCCAGGCGCCCCCGTCGCCCCTCTCTCTCCCTCCCGCGCGAGGCCCCGGAAGCCGGGCCGCCCCGCCCCCGCGCTCTCACCCCGGCCCCCGCCCCCCGCCGGAGCCCCGCCCGCCTTCCGACGGGGGTGCAGCTCCAGGAAACGGCGCGCTCGCCGCTCAGCGCTCCAGCGACACGACGCGCCCCGGACGACCCCGCCGACGCAGCCAGACCACCCAGCGGGCCCCAGCGGCGGCGGCGGCAAGAGCGGCTCCGGGTCCCGCGCCTCGGACCCCTCCCCACGGACGGGGCGGGCGGTGCCGATAGGAGCCCGGAGGCCATGGGGACCTGGGCCAGGCCAGCGATCGCGGGCCAGCGGGAGCCCCGGGTCTGAGGAACGGGCGGCGGAGGCGGCAGGGCCATGACCTCGGTGTGGAAGCGCTTGCAGCGCGTGGGCAAGCGGGCCGCCAAGTTCCAGTTTGTGGCCTGTTACCACGAGCTGGTGGTGGAGTGCACCAAGAAATGGTGAGTGGGAGGGAGGCCTGGGGCACTCCCCAGACTGGCGGGGACCCCATCCGGCCTTGGGGCCTGAGAATCCTGCCCCCAGTCCAGTGACCAAAGACGCCGCCTACCCCAACTTAGGCCCTGGTGACCCGGGCACAGAGAAGTGCCGCTGCAGCTGTGGCATCCCCGGAGCTGAGGGTGTGGGCAGCCTTTGGGGAGCGGAGGGCAGGACTTGCGACCGGAGAATCTGTCTGGGCCCACACTTGCCTCAACTGCACTCAGGGCTGAGGGAAGGGAGGCCTCCTGGTTTTGGCCAGAGGGATGGTTCAAGGTGGCATCAGACAAGGGAGCAAGTTTTGCCGGTCTTCAGGTGGAGGGGCTGGGACGGCAAACACCATGGCCCTAGTCCAGCTCAGAACAAGGATGTTGCCCCTTCCTCCGCTGCCCATTTGTTGAAC